CCCAAAACCCCAAAACCCCAAAACCCCAAAACCCCAAAACCCCATAAGATTAAATTTTTAGAATTTTTTCGGAAATTTAACAATAATTACATAATAAATAAAATAAATAAAATGTATGATTCAGCTGGAACCATGGGAATGGGAAGCAATTTATCTCTTCCCATTAAATAAATAGACTAGTCTGGTGAAACTAAGATAAATTCGAAAAGCAAGAGACAATCATCAAGCCAGCATCCCTTCCATTAAAAGACCTTTAAGGAGAACGAACTTTTCAAGGCAGCTAATCTCTATAATTTGCTCGATAAACATTAACACCTTTATGAAAATAGAATTTTTGCGCAGAGTTCAATAAACCAAATAAAACTAGCAAAAGAGAGTTAAAAATTCAAAATTCTTATGGATGATAATGATCAGCCTCAATTTATTAAAAATAGCTCCATTATGAACTCTCAGAGACCGATAACAACTACAGGTCTAGGTGGTTACTAAAGTTCGGCTTCAATGATGAATAGTTAAACAGTAATGAGACCTGTTTCTTAATAAACTCTTCAATCAATCGTCACTAATAAAAATGCATCTCAGTAAAATTTTAATAGTATAAACAAAAGCATAGCTAAGTTAGAGTCTATTAAAAATTTAAATTGGTCTAATAGAGACTTTGATCTTGACAAAATTACCTAAAATTAATAGATATTCAAACGCTATTTGTCAACTGTAGATCCATAAATGTTTAAATCTCAAATGAATGTCAAAGGCTAGCAATAAATCCCAACAATCTAAGAAGTTAACGACTACGTGAGTACAGCTTAAGAATTCAGTAAACACTCTATGTATTTTTCAAATAGATCGAAATAGGCTGCAAAGGGGGATAAGATAAATGATTTTTACAACATGGCCAGAGATCTTAATTACGAGGGTAAATAAAGGTATTATGCTAGTTAATTACAAAAAAATGAAATAACAAATACAGTACGATAGCCCACCGAGCACATTACTGGAAATTCATTTGATTAGTGTAAGATTTAAAAAAAAGCATACAGAGCTAACTCTGAATCACAAACAATATATAAAGAAAAAACACGCGAGAAGAAATCATTAATAAATTTCTAGGTGTAACCATTTGATATGATAAACCTTAGAGATGAAGCAAATAAACTAGCCTCAAGAAGACCCATGACCACAATCACTGCTGGCCAGTGCTAAAAGGTCTACGGCATATCTGATTTCGCTCATCTCTCCAGAATTACAGCACCTAATCATAATGAGGATTATTAGCGCGCTGTGACTACAAATTAAAAACTGTTTAGACGCCAAAATGGACCTTTTACCGAATGGTTCAACTCTTTGAAGACTTAGAAGTTTATCTCAGTCCCCTTCCAAAGTAATGTTGGAAGAGCTGCAGGCATACCCAGCAAGTGAATATTTTTCTTATTTTAAATTTAAATACTAGCTTAATATCTTGTTTTAATAATTAAATTCAAATTAACTTCGCAAACTTTGCTAACGAATATATCGATTCATGCGCAATACTTAATCAAAGACACATAATCCACAAGATATATCCTATAATAAATGTTATGGAGAATCTAAATAAGAGATTATATTGCAATAAAACCTCAACTTGAATTAGGTACCTTCTAACAATGTAACTATTACTTTATTTGATTTTTATCAGTTGGTGAATAGTCTAATTCAAAAGTATGCCAGCAACAACCTCTTATTTTACGCGCAAGGTGAACAGCACGTCAATACAAATTATAATGATAGATAAGACATATCTTTCAAAAAGTAAGCTCTACAACAATAATACTTTCAGTCTAAAATAATCTGCGACGGATTTTGAGGGAAATGAAAGTTCTAGTCATTAGAGCGAGTCGTCTTTCTTAGGGGAAGCTGACTCCGTCAAGATAACAATATCGAAGCCGTTTATATCGTAATTTGAAATATCTGATACTAATAAACATAGACAAAATCAATGCACACAAAATGGGTATAATAGAAAAGAAAAGAGCCTGGGAGAGCTTTGCCGCAGATTCTTGTTTCTGTACGGAGGAGAAGCCAGGGACTTATTGTACCTTGATCAATGCACAAAGGAATTGGCTGTTGAAAGAAGAAGAATCTACGACATAATAAATATCCTTGAAAGTTTTAATGTGATCAGACGTAAAGCAAAGAATGCATATTAATGGAAGGGTATTGAAAAGATATTAAAGTCTATTTCTCTCTAAATTGTATGCTTCAAACATTTGAATTTTCTTATAGAGCTTCTTTGAATCGAAACTTGATACTAATAATTCAAAGATCTGCTAACTCTAGGAAAAAAATAAGAAAAGTGCCAAGTCTGCGCCAAATTCTAATAGAAACCTCAAAGTCTAATAGATAGGGTAACTATTAATATATATGGCTTATTAATTCATAATAGTTTATGTCAAGATGAATCACGATTGCAAAAAATGATAAATTCTCATCAAGGATTAGAAAATATCACAAAAAAGGGAGTACTTTTAGATGAAGGTGAAATAAGTGAAGAAGAAAAAGAAAATGGAGCTAAATATAAAAAAGATAAATCACTTGGTATCCTATGTCAATAATTTATCGGTCTCTTTGTATCATGGAAAGACATCATATCCCTTGAAGAGGCTGCACGCTAAATTTCAAAGATTGACATTGAAGAACAAAAATTGAAAACTAAAATTAGAAGGCTCTACGACATTGCAAACGTTCTTCAATCTATTGGCTTGATTCAAAAAACTAGCTACCCATCTAGCAAGAAGCCAGCATTTTAATGGGTTGGCATCCAAGGAGTTTAAGATTTTGTCAATGAATTGAAGGAACATGAAATTTCAAAGCTTGCCTTAAACCCTTTATCTGATAGTGACGCTAGTCCAGATATAAAAATAAGGTTGAACCCTAAATACCCGAATACAACAGGGAATCAATTGATTAGCCCAGAGATACTAAAAAGCAATTAAAAGATATCGAATCAAACCACTGAGCACAGTGGTTTGACAGGTTAAAAGAGAAATCATTCTGATTTACTTTCTCAAACTTAAAGGTTTGAAAGAAAATACTCTGAGCCATTGATTCCATCAAAAAGATAGATGAAAACGTATGATCAGATTTGTTCTGAAAATATTAGCAGAAATCCAGATAATTTTGAATAGATTTTAGAATAAGCTTTGCAAACAAGAACCTAATAAACTGGGTTCAGACCATTAAATTAGTTAAACTAAAACAATAAATTCTAGTAATCATCTTTACAGACATCAAAGACGAAGAAATATTTACCACAACAGCAATAACTGCCTTATTAAGATAAGGAAAATTAAGAACCAAACTAGCTGGGACTTATAAAATACAAAAGCGATAATAACAATATTAAACAGCTGTAAGGATTGAATTTTTAAAGCACATCAAGCTCTTTTACCAAAACTACTGCTAACTCTATAAGTATAGCAGGAGATAATTCTGTAAAATCATCTATGTCAAATAAGGTTAGTACAATCTCAGTTTCTAGCTAGAGTGCACCAGTCCAAAACGGTCTTAGCCTGCTTTTCGCAGCAATTGATATAGTATTAAAAGACTAAAATCTTAACGAATCCTTCTGACACTTGACTTCATGTTTCTTTAATGAATGTTTAGTATATTTAAACTATCATGAAAATAATTATAAAATTTGTTTCATAATACATAATGATAACACTCCTTTTCAATTGTATGATTCATATCTCACGGGGTTTTGGGGTTTTGGGGTTTTGGGGAGATCGGAAGAGCACACGTCTGAACTC